GGCGATGGTCGTGTAATATTAGTTGCATCGCTGGGCGTTGCCCGTCTTTTTATCACGTGATTTCGCGCGCGCGCGCGATTCAAACGCTGCTCGCGGACTTGTAGCCTCGTGGCGTCCCCATCGCTGTCGCATGTTTACGCAATGTCCTATATATGTGTTATATGACGACAACGCACCGTCATTATGGCGGTGACGCGCGCGGGCGTCAAGTCTCTTCTCGCGTTCATCATGGGCTCCTTTCTAATTGTCTGCGTGATCACCATCGGCATCAGCATGTCGCGCGCGAGCCTGCGAGGAAATTGCACGCTCGAGATGAGTCTGAACAAAGACACCAAGGTTCATCAGTGTCCTGCATCCGTGCTGGCAATACGCGTATGGTCAAAAGAGGGCTATCCGAAAAGAGCCGGTGTAAATTTGGACAGGAATCAGACTGAGGCGCTGAAGCACTGTCTCAATGAGGTGGACGTTCTTGCTCCCCGGAAATATGATCTAGAATGTGAAGACACCTGCATCATCAGCGAGTCCATGTACCTCCGAAGATGTCCTCTGAACGTCTGTCAAATTCGGCGATTGATCGGAGGAAGGAGAGCCTCATTGTACGGAATAAATCTCGATCGCGAAGCTATAATTCTGCTGTCAAAATTTTTGAATAAAAAATGATAAAACTCACTACGTATTTGCGTATTGCGATATGCAGAGAGCCCACGAGGCTCGACGCATCGCGTAAAGGACACGAAAAGGTTTTTTTTCTTTATCGCCTTTATTGTTCAAAATCGTTCGCATTAACCCAACTGTTGTGCGAGGTGCCGTAGCCCCTCCATTTTACGAGGTATTGCAGATGGGGCACACGTCGGCGTCTCAAAACCTTCTCGACGATCCAGGTCTTGTTTTCGGCCAGGGAAACGCGCTGCAGTTCTGCCTCGTAAAAAGAGCCGAGAACGGGCTCTTTTCTCACCATATCGACTAGGTGATAGGTATTGGGCACACCTAATCGAATTCGGTCCACGATGAACACCTCGTCCGTGAACGACTGCTTGTACTTCTTCAGGAGAACGTGACGGTCTTTGGAGACGCGCACATGCTCACCCACGCGAAATTTAGGTATTTTCACCGGTCCGGGATCGGGGAACAAGTGAAAGAAAAATTCGGTCTGGTTTTGTGGGGTAACGTCGACCGGTCTAGCGTTCAGTGTCCTGTGATGGCTAAAATTATAAGATTTGACGATTTCCGGGAGAATTTCAATTAATCGTTTGGTTCGTGCATACTCAAAGTACTTGTAAACCCGACTCATTATGGTGCGTTGTACGCGTTCCACCATCGAAGCCTTTTGCTTCGAATTCACGGAATATAATTTAATGCCCTTTTTCTCCAGGAACGAGAGGACCAATCTTCCGTAAAATTCACGACCACGATCCGCACATAAACGCTTGCTTTTCCCCATTTTGCGAAAGACAATTTTCAACGCCCGGACAACCTCCTCTCCCGTCTTTCGAGCTATGGGAACGACGGTAAGAAATCGTGAGAACGTATCGATCACAAACAAAATGTATCATTTTCCATCATTGTATTTGGCAATTTTTTTAATTTCCACTAGGTCGGCCTGATAGACGTCTCGAAGTCCCAAGGATAGCGTTTTGCGATAGACGCGAGGGCGCTTGGTTTCCCTGAACAGCGTGTACGCGTCCGATCCTTCTAAAAACTTTTCCGCCGTTCTTCGTCCCGTATGTCGTGCGAGCCTGTTGATTCCACCAAAAGAGGCTGGATGACTTGCTTCGTAGTAGACCGCTTTGCTCCCCTCCTTTTGTGACGAAGACATGCTTTCTGGGCGCACCGCTTTGTTGGTCGGTAGTGTCGAGCTCGAAACGCACTCAGGTCCAGGTGACAATTGATGAGAGGGGAAACTGCGCCTCTCATCCAGGGAGGCTGCCTGTTGTACAGCTCGTAGTGCACAAGGTCTACAATGTTGGATCCCTCGAGCGGCTCTCCGTGAACCACCAGCGTTCCCTCGGGGGTGTAGGCAATTACCGAGGAAATCGCGGCGAGGAGCGTCTCGACTTTCCCTCGGTGTCGTGGGTGAAAAACGGAAAGAATTTCCTCGTCGTTAAAGTAGTCCTTGTCTAGAATTTCTTCCATGCTCTCTCGGCCAGGCGCTGCGAGGCACGAGGTGCGGCGGAAACGGGATCAGCTGGAGCCGGTTCGGTCGGCGATGCGGTCGGTGACCCAGTCCGCTGCTCCGGGGAAGCGGTACGAAGGCGCTTCGGCGAAGTGACCGAAGAAGAAGACGCACCGCGACGAATGGTCGCCCGCGCTTTGAGGGTTCTTCTTTTAAACCGATCGTGATTCACGATGGTCACTGGCAGGTTCTCTTTGACCAATAACCTCGTGACGCGATCGAAATGAGCCGGAACTGGCAGTTTCTTTGAACGTGAAACTAAATAGGAAACCAAGTCCACAATGTTGGATCCCTGTAGAGGTTTTTCCTCGATCGAAATTTCCAAGGTTTGCGGGTCCCAGGTGAGCACCGGTTCCAGTAGCCTCAGAAGCGATCGACCCTTTTGCCGGTAGGTTTTGCTCAAGTAATTGACTATGACGGAAGGGTCATCCCCACGCTCGCTCGTCTGCGTTGTCCGCTCTTCCGTGCTAATGGGTATCGCTTTAAGCTCGTCAATGTGTGCGCTACTCTCATTCGACGTGTACGGACGTAACATTTTGTGTAGCGTTTGAATTATTTTCTTTAGCTTGATGTCGTCCGGTTCGTTGTCTTCTTTCAGAATCTCGGGAATGTTCTCTCTGTAAGGTATGAGATGGTACTTTTTCATACTTCTCAGACCCCGATAGCCTTTGCGATGGCTCTTCCCGCGATCGTTGATATGAGGCCTAGGAGAGCAGGAAGGATCAGGGGTAGGAAACCTCCCTTCAAAACCAGCGTCTTTCTTATGTTCTTGTGCGTGTCTCTTCGATTTCCCAGTGACCGTATGACCGGTGCAAATCTCTTCACTTTCTTTTTTATAGCTTCGGAGAGAGGGAGGTTTCCGGCGCACAGGTTTAAACAAATTTCCCTAATTATTTTCAGATGCTCCTCCTTGGCGTGACGTAGTAGTGATTCTCTTTGCCTACACGTTTTGGCTTCCGACAACAGGTGCAAGAATCTTGCGTGCTTGGTGATGCGGTTCATTAGGACGTGTCGTACACGACTTCCGGACCCTCGTCCGGCAAGAGTTTTGCTCTCACACGAAAATTATCGGGACAAGTTTGCGATAGGTCGATCAGAAGGTAACTGAACGGCGTTCTACACGCGTCCGAATATATACGCGGTAGAACCTGCCCCCTACTGCCCCCAAAGAGCTGTCGGGATAGCACTTGGCAATCCTAACTGAGCGGAATATAAGTAAGGCCGAAGAATTTAGGCTTATTGTTCTAAAGTACGCGTCTTGGAGGAACATGTTCTGCGTGATGAAAATGACCGAAGCATTATAGTGATGAGCAGCTCCGATAAAATATTCGCAAATGTCTTTGAGCTTCGTTCGATTGGCGAGAAAGTCGTCGAATATGATCAGCGAGTCTCTTTCGGGGTCTAAATTTTGCGGGATCACCTTGGTGAAAATGACCCCGCTCGTGCCCAAAAACCAGCTCTGGGGAAACACGTAGACGTAGTAGATGACGTGAAACTCTTTGTCGAACATTTCTCTTCTAAATCTCAACAATTTGCGAATGTACGTGCTTTTGCCCGATTTAGAGGGTCCAATCATCGTGATTGACGCCGGCGTTTGGAAACGAAATTTGTCCAGGTCCGAAGACATGTCGGTGACCTCGCGTGCTACGCTCGTAGACGAGTGGAAAGAAGGCATCGCAGACACGTTTCTAAGTACTCGCGCGAAGCACATTCCCGCGCGGCGCTCTTTAGCTTCGCGATAAATGGTAATTTAAACACGCGTCGCAACACTGCGGTTTATAGCGACGCCCGTACGCGAGCAGCGATTACAGTGATTAAGCAACGAGGGAAAAGAAAAAAATAAGCGGAGGCTCTCCAAGGTCCGAGTTGACCGCTCGCTTCAAGGTCGTCTAGCAGGAAGTGTATGCAGGTTTAGACATGTCTCGAAAGCTCGGAATGTGTTCTTTTTTTCTCATATGCGAATTAAATACGTTGTTTTGACGCTGGCTCGCTAGCTCTTTTGTTTTCAGTCTCGGTTTTTTTCTTTTTATACGCACGTGTTGATTGCACAGCGAGTCGTCATTACGCAATCCGCTCGGTATATATAATCCGAGGTATCGTCCCCTGGTCGTCTTCACTGCTTTCTCTCCGGAAGGAAAAGGTAATGCTGGAAAAGAAAAAGCTTTGTAGGCCCGCCGTATACTAATGTGTCATTATTTCCAGACTGTCGTCCCACCTCGAGCCACCGCCGCCCTTCGGTCAACCCAAAATGGACGGGGTCCTGAACAAGCTGTCTTCACTGCGAGCGTCGTCATCGTCTTTGTGAGCATGAGCGCCATTCCGTGCAACGTCAAGATACCCGTGCTGGAGGTGAGGCGAATGGACACCCGTTACGGGCCATCCGTTTGTGTGACTCTGCAGCTGGAGAGCGATGTGGTAAATGTATTTTTACCCAAGCGGTTTGCCGAACTGAATGAGGAAGATCTCCAGAGCATGAGGGCGATGAAGGGACTCACGATGGAGAAAACCAGCGGTGACGAGCGGTCACCGGTCATCACTTTCTCGTGTTCTGACTAAAAAAGATTGTGAGCCTCTCGGGACAACTTGAGAAAAAAAAATGGTAACCTGCCACTTGTGTGATGCGCGAGAGCGGCAGCAGTACTCCAGCGCGGAGTCGTTACAAGTTCATCTGGCCCAGGTTCACAATATCCCGCCGCAAGATTGCCTTCCGTTCATCAACTCACTGTGCGCCTTTCGAAACTTTACCGCGCGTTATGATATGCATTTGCACGAGCGCGACGACGAGTCTCACGATGTATCCACGCTTTTTCGGCTTCAGTCCGACGCAATGGCCAATGTTTTTAGGCATTATGAAATGCCATTGCGTTTTTTCATCACACTAACCGTGGAAATGACTCGTCTCAGCGGTGACGACGAATTTGAATTCAGCGTGCACTACTTTCATTCTTTAGTCCACACGGTTTGGGCCGAAGGTAGCATTCGCGATGCTCTGCAGACTGCATGCGCCGAGATCTCTGCTTGCCTCGAACAGTATCAAGAACGAGGATCTGGGCTTGTCGTCGTCGCCATTCAGACCTGCACCATCACCGTGGGACGTTTCATTCCGCCCACGGTCGGTTGTGCGCGTTTTGTGTTACCCGCGGAACTCCCAAGCAGAAAGTGTCTAGTGAATGTGAACGAGCAACTGAACGAGTCGAAGAAAAACATGTGCTTTGTGTTTTCTGTGCTCGCCAGTCTCCATCCCGCACGCTCTAATCGATCGAGAGCTTCTTGCTACCGAGACCATTTTGGCAAGTATTGGTTCCCCAGCACGTATCCAGTGACGTTTCCGCAAGACGTGCAGGCTTTCGAGAGAAAAAACTCCGTGTCCGTGAACGTGTACGGTTATGATCGAGAACAAAGGTTTGTCTACCCGCTCAAAGTCAACGATAGCGAGTTGGAGAAGCACGTGGATTTGCTTCTGATAGACGATCACTTTGTTCTGATCACCAACTTTGGCGGACTTTTCGCGAACAGGCGCACTCACCGTTTTCGCTGTAAAAGGTGTATGATGGGCTTTCGCTTTCGCACTGCGCTGGGGAGTCATTTATCGCTGTGTAAGGAAAAGAAGGCAGTCCGAACAGTGTGTCCTGCAAAGGGGGACGCGCTGTATTTCCGGAGCCCACACACGATGGAACCTTTCCCCTACTTTTGCGTCTACGATTTCGAGGCCATTCTGGAAGCGGAAAACATGGGTCAGGCTTACGAGAAGCGCGTCCTCAGTTCGTTTTGCATACTCGTAATCCGATCCAAGGACTCGCGCATCGTCGAGCAGTTTTTGTACCGGGGCGAGGACTGCGTGGAAAAGTTCATTTCCATCCTTAATCAATTGTCAAAGCTCATTGGCGAATGGATTCGAAGTGAAGAAGTGCCAATGGTGAGCGTGAACGAAGAGGCTCATGCGTCGGCCTCTCACTGCGCGATTTGTGGCGAATCGTTCGGAAATCGAAAGAGAAAAGTCAGAGATCACGATCACTTAGCGGATCGTACAGGCAGTCGTTGTGTCAGGGATGCAATTTAAATCTGAGAGTAAACAAGAAAGTCATTCCAGTGCTCGCGCACAACCATTCGTATGACCTGGCCTTTATACTACCCAAACTTGACTTATTCGAGTCTAAAGATATTAAAGTGCTCGCCACTAGCTGCCAGCAATTTAAGCGACTCGACGTGGGTAACCTGCGGTTTCTCGACAGTCTGGCCTTTCTCCCCGCCAGCTTGGACGCGCTGGTTCAGGACCTCCGTTCCAAGGGACTAGAAAACCTGTGCTGTCTAAAACAGGCTTTTCCGCAGCACGTTGAGCTTCTGGCGCTGAAAGGCGTATTTCCTTACGACTATGTGACCAGTTTCGAGGCTTACCGGGAGCCCGAGCTACCGCCCCGCGAGTCGTTTTACAACAAGCTTAACGACAGCCGAATTTCGGAGGACGACTACCGTCACGCCCAAACCGTCTTTGAAACATTCAATTTCAAAAGCCTAGGAGAATACAGTGACTGCTACCTGAAACTAGACTGCCTACTTCTCGCCGACGTGTTCCAAAATTTTAGGAAATGGACTTTAGACACGTACGAGCTCGATCCGTTACACTACGTTTCCCTGCCCGCGCTTAGTCTTGCCTGCGCACTTAAACAGACTGGGGTAAAACGGGAGCTGCTCGACGACGTGGATGTGTATCTGTTCATCGAAGCGGGCCTGCGAGGAGGAATCGTTCGATGTGCCATTCGTAACACGAGGGCTAACGTGCCAGGAACCGCATGTTTCGATCCGAACACGGCGGTTTCTCAAATTTTAGACCTCGACGTGAACGGCCTGTACGCTCCCACCATGCGGCAAGCCCTTCCATGCGCAGATTTTTGCTGGCTAGACCGCGAGGAAATCGACGCTCTCCACTTCCAGCAGGTTCCCGACGACGCGCCCGAGGGTTACATTTTAGAGGTGGACCTCGACTATCCTCGGGAGCTACACGATTCGCACGCGGACTTTCCCCTGGCTCCCGAGAAACGAGGAGTCCCGCTCGAATGGCTCTCACCCTATCAAAAGGCGCTCGTCGAAAAATTTCACCTACCCCAGCGAGAGTCTGAGCGAAAGCTGCTTCTCACCTTTTACCCGAAACGGAATTACATTATTCACTACCGAAATCTCAAGCTGTATCTGGAGTTGGGCTTACAGCTAAAGGCCATTCATCGCGTTTTAAAGTTTTCGCAGAGTGCATTCCTTAAAGATTTCGTCGACTTTAACCGCAACCTGCGAAAACAGGCGACGAATGCTTTTCAAAAGAACCTATCTAAACTCATTATGAATTCAATTTATGGCAAGACAATCGAAAACCCACGCCAGTACAATAACGTTGTCATTAGCGTGAGCGAGGACGAAGTGCTCAAAAACCTGCAGAAGCCTAACCTCAGGCAGTTTGCGGCAATCAGCCCGACCGTGGTGATCTTTCAGTTTTCCCAGAGAACGCTACACTTGAACAAACCCGTGTACGCGGGTTTCTCTATCCTAGAGATGTCCAAACTGGTCATGTACGAATTTTTCTACAAGCAGGTCAGGCGCGTTTTCCCCGACGCTCGCGCAGCGTAGAGCGACACGGACTCGTTCATTCTCCAAATCACCGACCCGGATGTAGACTCGAAGCTCGCGACCCTTGCCGAAACTCACCTGGATACTTCTGGGTACCCGGGCGATCACACCTTGTTTTCTCCCGCAAACAAAATGAAACTAGGAGTGTTTAAAAATGAATTCCCAAAAGATCACATTCTTGGATTTGTTTGTCTGAAACCAAAACTCTATTCGCTCGAGCTAGCCTCTAGAGAGCACTATGTGAGGGCGAAAGGAGTGAAAAGGTGCGAGTCCCGTAAGCTAACCTACGAGCTCTACGTTCAAACTCTCGAGCAACAAACTCTGCACAAGATCACGCAGCGGACTATCGCTCGTAAGTTGTGCAAGAACAAGACTGTTGCCGTGGAGAAGATAGGACTCAACCCGTTTGACAAGAAGCGCTTCATCGACACCGACGGCGTTTCAACTCTTCCCTTCGGACATTGGTGCCTCTAAGTGAAGTGCTTTCTTTTTCTCCATCATTTCAGACTGATGTATCCGTGTGTACCCAGAGGGTTGTGTAAAGAGCCATTTTGTTGTGTGATTTTCATGTAGCGCGAGGGTTTTCCCCCCCGCCGAGTGTTTGATGCTTGTATAAAGAGCTGTCGCGCTCCCTTTGTTTCTCCGTGTCTCGAAAATTTCTTAGATATATGCCTATTGAATAAAAACGAAGAAAAAGATCCATCCTCGCTTTGTGTCCTTTTGTGGCTTTATTTCCAAATCAGGTTACAGGGCGGAGCAGCAGGAGAGCTTTAAAGCGGGAAAATTGCTTGCGCACGAGTATGGAAATGTGTGTGTCGTTCCGTCGGTAGTCGCTCGCCGAGAAGGTTTGGATGCACTCGCGGAGCGGTACACCGCAACATAGGAGCGCACCAACGTAGAGACAGTAAAGTCCGCACGTGTGCGACAGAGTCCCTTGAATTCTTTTCTTGAAGTAGAAGAAGGACGCTGCGCCTCCGATGAAGTCGTAAAATTCCTCGTGAATCGGAATCATTCCGAAACTGTCAAAATAACTAATTGCACCGTCCTTTGGGCACACGTAGAAAAGAACCCAGTGTTCACCGAACGAAGACCTCGGTGCCGTATTCACTACGTAAAGACCAGGTGACGCTGTCTCTTGACCAATCTCGTCGCACGCGAACGTGCCACGAAACCAGGGACGCGTGCAATGATTTCCCGCGAACATTGGGTAAAATTCGTGCTCTTCCATTTCAGCCGGCAAACTTGACGTTTCTCTCCTTGTCAATTTCCAGGACGCGAGGCGTTTCTGACATAAAGAGAATCGTGATGGCTTTAGTTAGATCTTGCTTGAAGGTCAAGGTGAGTCTCACGTTCGCCGTGGAAATGGGACAAAGACTCTGCTCTTCCCTGTCCGGAGTCAAAATGTAGTAGAGCAGAAAGGAGTCTTTCGAGAAGGCACCTTTAGAGTAGGGGACGTCTCTGCGATTAAGGCGGTGTTGGAAGCTCATATAGGCCTTCATGTAGAGATCCTGAGCAAAATCAAACTGCTCCGTCTGCTGGCAGCCACCCACGTCCAGGACCGCCGTTTTCAGGTTGAAGTGCTCGAGCTTGAAGGGGTCGTGCTCGCGACTTCCCTGAAACGCCTCGCTCTTCACGAAGGCGACTAGGAGCTTTGACGGCACTCGATGCGGATACAGATCGTCGAGGACAATGTGCGACACACCGGGAGAAACGGTTCTGGTCTTGATCTCCACCCCACGAAGTAGATAAGTCGCGGGAGAGGACTGCAGACGTCTTTCGATGCCCACAAGCACCGTCGGGGCCACTTGCACGCGTCGAATGTAGAGCACAATGCGGGGAAGTTGGACGACGTGCTCCTGGGGAACCGTCGAAGCGGCCAAGAGCCTGAAATCTTCGGTATTTTGACGCAGCACGATGCGAATATCCACCCCGTTCAAGAGAAGCTTGTCCTGGTGACATTTGTCACTCATAAGAGGACAAAACAAATCACAGAGCGTACTTCCTTCGTTTCGTTTAAAACGTGCCATAAGGCCCTTGGCATCGGCGGGAATGTCTAGCTTTTCGGACGTATTTACCGGGTCTTTTTCGTACAACATCGCAGAAAGAGAGTGATCCCTACTCGTCTGGTTTGCGTGCAGGAGGATATCGAGATAGGAACGATAAGCATAATTTTCGTACTGGCTCACCAAAGTCTGGTTCAGATACACGTGTAAGTATTGAAAAAGGGAGCTTCCAAATGCCTGAACCGGTATGACCTTATCGTGCGTGACAGTTCCGTCCAAGGCGGTGGTGCTCGCGGGATCGCCATTGGCTCGCACGATTTTTGTCTGGATGTGCAGGAAGCTTGATTTCAGATCGTAAAAGTGAGGTCCTAGCGAGGGAACGTGAAATTCTAAGACCGAGGTGGGTGTTGTCGTGGCCACCGGAAAGAATTCGATATATTCGGACTTTTCCAAAGCAAAAGACGTAGGCGGAAGAGAGAAGAGATCGAGCTCTCCGCTGGTGCACAGACAGGAACGCTCGTGCAGGGTAAAAATATCGCCCGTCATTTTTTTTAGGTATCGAAAAAGTCATGCACGACCTTTCGTTTCTTTTGCCGTCCAGAAACTGAACAGCACTGGCTGGACGCCTTTCTTTTATGTCCTCCGCCAGACTGCAGCTTTTGGAGGAACTCGTCTCTGGTGCTTCGATACGTGCGGCCAATTCCCTTCTTTACGGCGTCCTTCAACGAAGAACCCTGCCTCATTCGCTCTGCAATATCTCTACCCGTGAACACTAGTTTTCGACCCAGGTAAGGGGCCACTCGCTTTTAAACACTGGCGATAGCCTCTGATAAATGTCCGACAGTAGTCCGCTCCCAACTTGGAACAGGGGCCCGGACACAAAATGCGGCAGCGGTCTTTCTCCGGAACCCGAGAAATGTTCTAAACAACACGGTGGGGACTTTACGTGCATTTTCTAAAATGAAGAGTGGCTGCAACGCGACCCGATCCGTCCAGAAATGGGATGTAGCTTCCTCTCTCGCCAACAAGCTCGAGACAAATGGTGCTAACTTCTTTTACGATCACCTTCTTATATTGTGGTAGATTAAAAGAATAGGATATCATTTCGTTACGTTTTGACACTACGAATGGGACGACTCTCAAGAGAGGAGCTTTCACGTCGCCGACGTGCTCCGCTTCTATGATATCGCAATAGGTAAAAATGTAATTGCTGGGAAATAATATCACATCACGGTCTGCCACCGAGAAGGAAGTGTACACGCTGTTCTGACCAAAGCCAAGCATGTGAGATAAGTGAGCGTTGATTAGGATATACCCACTGTGGTGCAACTGTAACTCTACGACTTTGATGTATGGATTATAACGAAGCAATATTTTGGAGGAATTGAGCTTAAGATGAGACTGGTAGGCGCTGTTTATCGCGTTAATGAGATCTTCTGGCGATTCGTAGAAGCCCTCGAGGATCTCAATTCGGTCTTGTGTCATCACGTGCTTAACCCTCGTCAACTCTACCTCGACCTCCCGATCGAATGTATCTTCCTCCACGGGGCTGCCTTCCACGGGCTGACCTATTCCAAAAATGATCTCTGCAAATCCGAGTTTTTTCGACAATGTAGGGGACATGCGCAGTGCGTTGTTTCTCTGGAACCCTATAGAGTAACATTTTCCCTTTCGCTCGAAGCTCGTCTTGGGACCAAAGAGCTCTCGCAGGGCGCTTTTCACCAGCGCGGCAAAGTCTTGCTTTGGCTGTATTCGTAGCTTTTTGGTGCCTTCCACTTTCCCGGCATCCGTGGGTCTGACCAAGTACAGCACGTTAGATGGGCTCGTCACATTCTTGATGCTAAATGGGAAGTTCAGTTTTTCTAGGGCTACCTCGTACGGTTCGTTTAATATAATAGGTTGAGACAACTGTACCTTGAACTTGCTCAAACTATTGTCGTGAAAAATGTCCGACGAGGCATTTGAGAATAGATTCACGTAAAACTGATCCCTCATTTCGCTTCTTGCCGACCGATCTGTACGTAGGTCGAGAGCAGACTGACCGGACCGCTATCAGGGTCCAGTCTTTTCTTTAGCAATAGTAGGAGAGAGACACACACACACACGCAGTCATCCTACAGGGTTAGTTATTTTTATTTCCCCGAGTCTAGAGTATCCACGGTGATCAGGCGATATCGAAGAACATCGGTGGCCAGGCAATGGATGTAGGTGGCTTCGATATGGTGCTTACAATGCATCGCGCGTTTGATGGTCTTGAGTGTATCCGAGATAAATTCCACCACGTTCGTCGTCTCCGATGCGGTAACTTTGGTCAACACCTTTCCCGACCAATGGGATAAGAGCACAAAGGGCTGCTCGTGGGATTCCCACTCCTTGTCCCGCACCTTGTAGCTCTCGTAGACCTGGGATATGATCCTGAACACAACGGGGTCCACTTCATATGGAATGAACTTGCCAAAAACTATGAGGTCCACCAACATATCGAACGCAGACACAAAGAAGTTGTTGTTGGCTTTTCGATGTGCAGCGCAGGCTTCGACATCGCTCCATCGAGTGTGTTGATCTTCGCAGCCATCCAGACGTTCACGCACGAGCATCTTGTCAGATCGAGCTCCGTCGCACGAGTGAGGGTCCGAGCCCAAATGCAGCAGCTAAGGGGGCGCAACGAGGCTACGAGTCCGCGAGCAGCGTTTGAATCGCGCGCGCGCGCGAAATCACGTGATAAAAAGACGGGCAACGCCCAGCGATGCAACTAATATTACACGACCATCGCCACATGACCTGCGGCAATGTCGTATCCTGTTTTTCAATCGTGTTACGAAAGCCAGGTAGCGGGAAAGCACGTGATCTGGTTTGCACACACACGGACAACTAAGACGAGTTAAGCCCTCTGGGAAGCAATGTGCTTCTAGCTGGAGAAAGAAGAAGACGCCGTTTCGAACGGCCACGTTTTCCATGTTCTCCGGGGAAAATTTATCGGCCGCTGGCCGAGGAAACGTTATGACGTCTGATAACGTTACAGAAGACTACCGGATAATCCTGCCACGTCTGACATCAGGTAACCTGAGCCTGAATTCCGTTTTCTTGCATGGGGACCTCTCGGCGCGCCCGTATCGAGCTCCTGATTTTCGAGACGCCCTACGTGGCATCGTCGAATTGAAGGACGTTGTGAGCCTCGGACAGTTCCAGATGTCTCACGTCTGGATGCTGACGTGTGTCAACGCTGTTACCAAGGCAAAGCTCGTCGCTCAACGAGAGCTCCGCGTGAAAGGCCGAAAGTGCCTCATCATTGACCCGGACAAGCAAGAAGTAAACCTAAAGCTTCTTTGGCTTCCACAGCATCTAGAGGATCGACGAGTTATCGAAGCTCTCGCCCCGTTTGGCAAAGTGCGATCGATCAAGAGAGAAAAATGGAGGTGCAGCGAGCTTGAGCACATGGAGACTCTAAATCGAGAGGTAGTACTGGTATTAGGGGATGGTGTCAATGCCAGTCAGATACCACATCTCCTTCAAGTCTACGGATGCCAGAGCCTCGTCCTTATTCCTGGCCGACCTCCGCTGTGCTTGCGCTGCAACAAAGTGGGACATATTCGACGCTACTGTAGAACACCGAGGTGCTCCAACTGCCGGCGGTATGGTCACCAAACTGAGGAGTGTGTCAACGGCGCCACCTATGCGGACATGTTACGACAACGTC